ATGTTCATAGCAGCCTTATTCACAAAAGCCAGGAAATGAAAACAGCCCAGATGTCCATAAACAAATGAATAAACTGAGAAACTGTGAACTACGGTACATTCACACAGTGGAATACTATGCAGAATACTATGCGGCACTAAGGAACAATGATTTTGTAAAATACTGTATAACATGGGAGCATCTAGAGAATATCGCATTCTGCATTTTTATTTTATTATTTCAATACCGTAAGAGCCTTTTTGTTTCCCCAATCCCACAGTACATTTCAATGGTTTTAACACGCAAATAGATTCATGTAATCCCCATCACAATCAAAGTATCAGTTTCATCACCTGAGAAAGCTTCCCCTTTGTGGTCACATTCCTCCCTCAAAACTTAATAATCACTGGTTTGTTTGTTGTTGTTGTTATGTACCATTGAGTTGGAACTGACCCATAGTTTACAGAAGCAGTAAATTACACAGGAGGAAATTGCCTATTTCTCCTGCGAAACAGCTGATGAACTCAAACTACATGTATTTGGTTTGTCAGTAAAACTATAAAAGGAATTCTATTCTGTGCCTCTAAACTGAGCAACCTGTGGTTCACCCCTTTCTTTCCCTCCTTTCATTTCTATTGTGATGAAACTCATACGTTCTAGCTCTTCCTACTAAGACTTGACACAAACTCAACCAACTACCTTTTCAGTGGAGATTTGCATCTTTAGAATGGAGACACAAGGAAAATGATGAGAACAAACTGACTCCAATAGGTAGTCTTGGACCAGTCGCTCTGTCTTCTGTCCTTTTCAAGGCTGTAGTTCAGCTTTTCTGTACTCAAAGAGCTATTTCAGGGAGCTCTGGTGGTCTAGTGGTAAGGAGTTGTGTTGTCAACCTGAAAGCACATGGTTTAAATCCACCAGCTGCTCCATGGGGGAAAAAACAGGCAATCAACTCTCATGTCATTTAATACCTCTGAAAACCCACTGGAGGGTCAGTTATGGGTTGTTTCAATTCTATGGTACACAGCAACAATGACACCTTATCATACAGTCAGCTTATCTCCTCCATCAGCTCTTGAGGGGTGTAATGGTTCATGTGCTCACTGCTAATCAGAAAAGCTGAAAGAGTGAAAGGTTGGTTGGAGGATCAAGTCCACTCAGAGACCTTTCAGAAGAAAATGGAAATAGCCCAGATGTGATTTAAATAAACTTAATTAAAGTCACATATTATGCAATCACTC